TCCGTTTGCGGCGGACGGGTCACGGGGGAAAGATCGGCGGCTGCGACCTCGGCGTCCTTCCCTGCAACAGTCTTGATTGGCTCCGCTTAGATCCGGGGCAACAGCTTCTCGATGAACTCCTTCACCGCCATCATCTCCTGTGGAGAGCACAGAGCCCATCACTCCAGGGCTCCTCAAGGGCCGTGCGTTGTCCCAAGCGTGGGGGCACGAGGGCTGCGCAGCCTCCCGCGAGTGAATCGTCTTGATTGGCTCCGCTTAGATCCGGGGCAACAGCTTCTCGATGAACTCCTTCACCGCCATCATCTCCTGTGGAGAGCACAGAGCCCATCACTCCAGGGCTCCTCAAGGGCCGTGCGTTGTCCCAAGCGTGGGGGCACGAGGGCTGCGCAGCCTCCCGCGAGTGAATCGGGGAATAAACACATCCCGTGTGTCCTGGACTCAGCAATTTCCCCTCCCTGCCTGACCCACCGTGCTGGGGTCGGTCCCAAAGGCGAGACCAGCCCCTGACAGCCCCGTCCCCTCTCTCCGCCCCGAGGCACTGACCTGAGGACAGGAACTGTGCATCACGCCGGGGTAGGTTTTGAACTGGACCTTGGTGGGGGTGACGACAGATTTCAGCTTCTCAGCAGTGAGGGCCCCGAAGCGGACGGGGATCATGGGGTCCATCTCCCCATGGCACTGCAGGATGGCGATGTCCTTGTTCACGCCGTTATTCGCCGCCTGCAGCGAGGAAGGAAGCACTTGGGGGTGCCCAGGAGAGGGGAACCCCAGTGGGGAACGGGGCAGGTGCTTTATCCGCGTCCCAATGCACATCACCTGCCAGCTCCCCTCCTCAAGAGGGACGTGGGAGAGCTGCTCACACAGCGCCTGCTGCCCTGCCACCAAACGCCTCCTCCCACGCTGCCACCAGGACCGAGCTGCTGCCCGGTGGGCACGAGGAGGCTTGGGGACCAGATCAGCTCGCAGATGCCCACACCAGATCGGAGGCAGAGCCCTGATTTCTCCTGTGCCCTCACCTGCCCCAGTCCCCAAGAGAAGGGGCGTGGGATTAAACCCCCCACCACAGGCACCTCATGCCTCCGGCAGCCCCAGGCTCACACTGCAGCAAACTCCGGATGGGAAAATCCTCCCTCACCAACCCTCCCTGCGGACACGCGGGGCAGCAGCAGCGCAGGGTACCTGCGGGAAGGCCTTGTGCAGCGGGAGCCAGCAGCTGAGCGCCACGATGCCGGCCAGCTGGTGCTGGCAGGTGAGAGCCGTGTACAGCGACAAGGCACCGCCCTGCAGCAGACGAGGAAGGTCCGTTAGCGCGATGGAGGGGATCCGCAGCCCCAGAGCACCCACCAGCCCCGGGCTCACCCAGCACCCACCCGCCTCCCTGCCACGGACGCTCCCTTTGAGGCGTGTCTTCGGAGGGGGAAGGGGGAACCTGACCCTCAGTCTGCTCCGCCTCAGCCCCCTGCAGCTCAGCTCACCTGCGAGAAGCCCCCCAGGATGATGCGGTTGGGTGGGATCCCATTCTTCATCTCATGCTCGATAATTGCTTTAACTGGAAGAAGACAGAGAAATGGGTCAGTGAAAGGTGGGGGGGCTGAAGAGCGGCACCCGAGGCCTGGGGGTGCACACAGGACGCTCAGCACGTCAGGGAGAGGCAGGTGCCAGAGGTCCCAGTGACCGAATGCACTCGGCTTCAGCCAGGGAGAAGGTGGGCTGGGATCACAGGAGAGCAGAAAGGAAGGAGAGGTGGAAGGAAGACATCTGCTCCTGTCCCAGCGAGGGAGAGGCGCCCAGGAGCTCAGCGCTTCCCCCTCCCCAACGTCTCTTACTGTTTTCTGCGGCTTTCTTGATCCCAGCTTCATCCTCAGGTGCATCTGGAGTCAAGCCCATCAGATCAAACCTGGGAGAAGAAGCAGGGTCAGCCCCAAACCTCTCCCAGCACCCCGGGTGTGGGGAGGTGGGAGCTGGGTGTGCTCTGCCCTTCCCCCGACTCCTACAGGGCAGTGGATTTTGGCTCTTCAGTCCCCCCATCCCTCTCACTCCCCAAAATAGACCCTCAGAAGGGTCCCACCCACCCCTGCCACCCAAAGCACTGACCAAGAGGGCATAACCATCTTCATGTTGAGGGTCACCGGGATCCGGGGCCTGCCGAGAAAAGAGTTTGGGTCTTTTAGTTCAAGTGCAAGAGAAGAAAATCCGAGCCAAGGGGAGCGGGGTGACCAGCCCTCCTGCCCGCAGCTGCAGGATACCTCTCCCAAGGGACAGCAGCGGGTCGGTGCCACCAGACCCAGCTCGGGGGATGCAAGGTGACCCCAGGGATCATCCATGAGCCCCGAGCAGATCCCGGCTGAGCTGGCAGCTCCAGGGCGTTGCCAAGTGGCCCGCCTGGGGAAGGAGAGCACCTGCGTCCCTCTCCTGTTTGCTGCTGCTGAGCCAGGAGATGCTGAGGGAGCAGCTGCCTCTTGCTGCTGAGACGGGACACCGGGAAGCCGAGGCCCTGCTGTCGGGGACGCCGCTGAGGCAGAGCTCTCCCAGCCCGGTGAGTGCCCCCGTGCATGGGCTGCTATCGACACTGGGGACACATCGGGGAGCGTTTCCTTCCCTTTCTGCTGAGCCCCCTCCTGCCTGACCAGGGGAAGGAGCTCCAGCGCTTTTGGCTTTCACTGCAGCCATCGGGGAGAGGCAGAGGACAGGACAGGGGAGAAAACAGACTCAGAGCAGCAGCTCCCGCGCTGATCAGCTCTGTGGGGAACCACTCTGCCCGCGGGCAGAAAATGTCAGGGCTGGGGCCCTGAACGAACCGGCCACAGCAGGAGAGCAAGCCTCACTGCACAGCCCCGCGGGCAGCCCAGGGCACAGGCCACCATCTGCCTCTACAAACAGTCTTGGCAGCGGGCACCGGCT